CACACATACTCATGCCACATGCAATTCTATTCTACTCTTCAGCTGACGTCCCTGGGGTATGTATGGGTTGGGATTTTGGGTAGGAACGCCATGTCAGCACATATAATATTCATGTGTCCTGTTCCTGCGCTAGGGACCGGATCTAATAGGCACAACATATGTAAATACGTTAAATGAACATTTGATAATTATTTTGACAATTGTCGAAAATGGATTTTAATGATTTTTAAGAGTGGGGGTGAGGGTATTTTAAGAGATAGGTGTAAAAAAATTTTCAAGTACTCATTAAACGTGCTTACAATATTGTGTCTACCTGATCTGATTTGACCAACGCCACACATCAACCTCACAAGGTGGTAAGAACTATTGAGTTCCCTAGCTCTTTTGATTGCCTTTGTTGAATTGTAGATTTTAGAGCCCTAACCATTCGCTTTTCTATCTCTAGTTTCCTGATTTGATTGGAAGAAATCAAGCTCCAAATTTCAAAAATATTGGGCGTAAATTTTTTTTTTTTTCAATCAAATCAGCTTTTCTGTAAGTTATTATTTTGGGAAAAACCTATGATGCCCGGAAGACATGGTACTGGATGAGTTTTGACCTTTTTTTTCAATTTATTAAAATTCATCTATGAATTTTGATAAATACCACATGATTGGTTGCTACATTTATGATACAGGTTGAATGGTCACAAGTTTTTCACATATCATGTTTTCTAGTATCATAGTCGAACCCTTTATAAGAGATCAAGGGGTGGAGTCTGGAAAGAGCATGGGTGTTTATTGTACGATTCAAACTACAAAACCAAATTAAACCAAATATATATATGGTTTAATTTGGTTTTGTAGTTTGAAATATACCAAATGTTAAAAGTATATAATAAATTCTACAATCTTATAATAAAATAAAATAAAAAAATAGCTTTTAATATTTTAGGGGTGTTATTTGGGCTTTTTAGTTGGATTAAAGCGAATAAAATCATAGGATGGCCCAAAGTCCCCAAATTGTATTTAAAACCACACTAAACCGTAATAAAATGGTTTGAGATGCTTTGCTTTTCATTTCAAAATGGTTTGGTTGGTCTAGAAATTTCTCAAACTGCAATTTATTTTGATTTCATTTGAAATCTTTTCCAAACTGTACAGAACCAAACCGTGAACACCCCTAAGAGAGAGCATGGTGAATGTGAGGTCCACTGACAATGGAAGGCCTGCACTTAACAGATTTGATCTCATATGGAGAGACACCAAGTGATCATCTCAACAATTTGGTCATTGGCCAGCGTAATCTTGCAAAATTGATCTAGAAAGAGAATTGTTTTTTCATCCAGCGACGAATCACTGGTTCAACCATCCCAACCAAATGAATCAATTAATGATATCATAATTAAATAGTAAATATATTAAAATATAAAAGTATAAAAAAAATTGAACATATCTCTAATATTATATATTTATTTTATCAAATAAAAGTAAATATGATAAATAAGAAGCACTTTTATTAATAATATGGAAATTAATAACTAAAAATTAAAACAAAAAAAAAAACTGAAAGAAAAGAGAACTAATATTTAAGCCGTGACCCACTGACAGGGTTAAACCATCAACAGTTCAATCGACTGGATCACAAAATCATTAACTGAATCAATAGTTTTTTTTAAGGCAAATTAGTAATTTGAAAATAAAATTAATTGAGCCAGAATTCCAACTAATTAAGTCAACCAATTTTATCACAGGTTGAAAACGTTGTTCACAAGAGGACTGAGAAGATGAGCATCACCAACAACAATATCAAGAGCAATAGATGAAGCAATCATTTATGCTTTCTGAGAGCCGTTTCACATTATCAGCATACTTCAGTTACCATTGCGTCAAGTGGACATTTTGACAGTTTTGAGTGAATAAGTTTTTAAGATGGCCGTCTGATAAAGGTAGAAGTATTTACTACTTTTGTTTCTATTTTTTGTATTCATTATTAAAGGCCTAACTAGTTCTAACTAGTCGATTCATGACCAAATGACTCAAGTGGTTTAACTTAGGGATAGCACTTTTCCCCATTTTTTTAATTCTCGTGGTGATTCACCTCAAATGGGATGCAGATGGGGATGATTTTCCCCAGTAGAGATAGGGATAGGGAAATTTTCATCCCCGTTGGCGGGGATAGGGTAGGGATGGAAAGAGCACTCCCTGCCCCACTTCGTGGGATCCCCACTAATATATATGTACGCATATATTAATATTTTTAAAAATATGGTTGAATATATTTGAATCTTTTCTAATATAATTTTAAATTTTAATTATTTTGTTTTTTTTAATTAAATAAAAAATAAAAATAAAATGATTGATATTATAAAAAATCATGGGAATGGGGATCCCCATAAGCATAGGGATGGGAATAACCTTGTCCCCATTAGCGGGGATGAGGACGGGGATGGGGGTGGGGAAAGGCTCCTCGTCCCTACCCCGCTATGTTGTCGTTCCTAGTTTAATATTTTAACCGAACCCTTACAAGGTCAGATTCAGTCCTTAGAAAACGATACTCATACTCACACTGTACTCACAACCACTTGCAACTATGCATTGAAAATATCTCCTTAGGAATGAAAGCATTCAAATTCAGAGATATTCTCAGTACAGAGTTGCAAGTGGTTGGGAACATTCAAGAAAATGTTCCTAATATACGGTTATAATGGCTTGTTGTGACAGTATTGGTAGCATATCCCTACCCGAGATATTGCTAATGTGTGACTGTAACACCTTGTTGGTAAAGTGTTGGTAGCATGTCCAGATATCATCATGTGATCAAAACAGTGAAAGCTATACACAACCCCTCAATCATAAGTTATGTGGGTGTATGCTATAAAAATGAATTATAACCATACAACCCTCTTTATATTGACGTGCGTGCCACTTTATAACTCTAAGTCTCACTTAATAAACTCAATTCCCATGAAATGAGTGCTAACGTTTTCCCATACCTTATGCTTCTCACATGCCAATATAACCCCTTAGCAAATATAAAATAAAATAATGTTAGTTTTCATTTTATGACCGGCATGTCCTTCGATTGGAGAGTTTGCAAATTCGTGCTTAGATTGTACTATCAGCTTTCGGGGCATGAATATTTTATGTATGGTTTTTAAAATCGGATTGGATTGGATGGTCGGATCAGAAAAATTGGGAATCAGTTAGGTGATTGGTTTTGTTTTACCTCAAAATTGTTATTTCTCCAAAAAACCGTTAATTTGGTCAGTAAATTGTTGATTCGAGCGGTCGAATTGTTTAATGGTTTGGCCAATTTTTATTTTTTTATCAAAACAGGTTGTCTGTCCAATTCCAACAATCGGACCATTCTACCCAAAAAACAGACCCCTGACTGATTTGATTTTAAAAACCTTGGTTCCATGTATGGATGGATATGCACAATTTTTGCTTTTAATAAATCCCATCTCTTCACCATTTTGGGATGACAAAACAAAACTAGTACCATATCAGCCAAACAATATGATTTTGGCAGTGCATCAGTTGTTTTTATTTTTCAAAAACAAAACCAAACATATAGGTGGAGATGGTGACCTGGTGTAAGGTTCTTCAATGGTTTGACCCTTTCACCGGATAAACCACTCGGGCTGACATCTGGGTCAATTCTTAAAATACTGGTTTCCACTTGGAGTGAAGTAGTTGAGACATTTGAGTGTTAGCTTTTAAGAAAAATAAAAAGTTTAATTTTATGAATTTAATTTTACAGCCAACCACTTGTTTGTTAGGGATGGACGAAGTCATGAAATTTTCGTGATACCAATGTGTCTATTTGTTCTTCTTTTTTCATACATATATACATACATACATACATACTTTTTATTTTTTATTTATTTTTTGTCTGCTGGTACTTTTTGATGTGCATATTAATCTATTTTACAGTTGGAGGAGTAAGGACCATTTGCCTCTCTTTTTTATTAGTGAGTAGACCTAGGCTACACCTACTACTTCGAATCTGGAACAGCGAAAATACGTTACCTTCCACACACAGTGCTCAGTAGTCACTTAGTCAGTACTGAGTTATCCCCAGTTTGGCAATTCCTCGTTTTGCTGCTGAACTGCGATATTTTCTTAACTTAACAAGGTAACAGAATCCAAGCGGACCTACAATTCAAACGTTTCCATCCATGTACGGATCCCTGGTTTCCTTGCTTTTTTTATTGGTTGTCATATTCAGCCTCACACAGACACAGAAAGTGAAGATATCCGAGAGTATCAATTATCTGTATAATTAAGTTCCCTCCTACCTACAAGGCTGATAATCAATTTATTCAATAAAATAATACTTTTTTGCATTACTCAAGATCGCTGAAAGCAAGCTTGTAAGGATAAACTTATAATGGAGCAAAGATTAATTGAATTCAATGACTGTTCAGTGGAGTGGAGTTAAAGTCTCCACCCCACAATCACATTCCCGCCATGTATTAGCAAGTCTTTGATAGAGATGTTTTCAATACACGGTCAGGATGTGTTGTGGGGCAAAAATGTGATCTTTATTCAGTGGGCTGTGAATATATAGGCTCCATATACATGGGACCCAAAATCATTTAATTTCTCACTGTGGTCCCATACTTTTTCACTGACATGAGGCATTACCATTGGTTCCACGAGTCCAGATCTACTGCCACAAAACAAGTTCCAACACTATCAACATCATCTAACACCACACATCTCATACATTGATAGGGTGCTGAACGTGTTTTATTGGTAGGAGATCCTAACCCTGGTTCTGCAGCCTGCTGAACATCTATCGAGTAAATCCGAATTCAAACTCATGTATCCAAAGAAGTTAAACAAACGGGGCCTCAGTCCCACCATCATCAGTGGAACCCAGCTCTGGTTTATGAAACTGGCTGTATAGTTGCAGTGATATGATTGGAGGAGATAAACTTGGTGGACCATTTTCAGAAAATGAGTAGTTTCCTAAGTCCACTGCTGACTATCAGAAGAAAACAACTTGAGTAGTAGTCTCCTGAAAAAAAAAATGCTGCATGGTCATGCCATGTCTAGCTAGCTGTTTCAGGCCAAAATGAGGTGTGTATTAAGAGAGAGAGAGAGAACTCTTAGTTTTGTCTTGTTTTGTCGTGGGGTGGGGAATTGGGGTTGGTCGTAGGAACCCATCTGATCTGATCTCAAGTGTTGCCTCCAATCTCCATGTATATGAGTTGGAACACCTTGTCATTTGATGGACTCAGCAAGACGACTCGTTCCTCGATCTCTTCTTCTCTCTCCAAAATTGTTATTGTTGATCCTCTCTCTTCTTCAACCACCCTCCCTCTCTGGCTGCCTTTAAAAAGGACAGCAGAAACTGAGAAAAGCTATAGAGAAGATATAATAGTCTACAGAGAGAAAATAATTATAACAAGCGCCAATAGAAACACAGAATGAATGGTCTTTCACCCGTAGAGCCAAATTACTCTGAGTTTGTTGAAGTTGATCCAACTGGAAGATATTGCCGGGTATTTCTCCTTTTAACTTTCTGATTCTCAGTTCCTATGTTGCCGAGGTTATTTTTCCTTTTTATTTCATAAATCAGTTTGCTGAAGTCTGGTCTGGTTTTCATTTTCACTTTCATTTTCATTTTTGTTTAGTACGACGAAATCCTCGGCAAAGGAGCTTCCAAGACTGTGTATGAATCTCTCTATCCCCAAATTTTCTGTCTTAGCCATTTCAGATGTTTTCAAAAGAGAAACTCTTAATGAAGTCTTCGGAATGGCTCTTTGATCATTCTTCGTTGTGTGCCTGTTTTTTTGGTGGACTTCTTGATGCAGTTACAGAGCCTTTGATGAGTACGAAGGTATCGAAGTTGCCTGGAACCAGGTCAAGCTTTATGATTTCCTGCAGAGCCCAGAAGACCTTGAGAGGCTCTACTGTGAAATCCATTTGCTCAAGACCCTGAAGCACAAAAACATCATGAAGTTCTACACTTCCTGGGTTGATACCGCGAAGAGGAACATAAACTTTATTACCGAGCTGTTCACCTCTGGGACTCTCAGACAGTAAGTGCTCAATGATTTTCTGGTGTCGTTTCATTTTTCTGGGTTGTTTCGGTGGTGGGTCATTGAGATTTGAGATGCGTTCATTTCTTTTCCATGTTATTTTTTTCCCCATCGCTTTTGGTAGGTATAGGCACAAGCACAAGAGGGTTAACATTAGAGCAGTGAAGCATTGGTGTAGACAGATCTTGAGAGGACTTCTCTATCTCCATAGCCATGATCCTCCAGTGATCCACAGAGATCTCAAGTGTGATAATATATTTATCAATGGGAACCAAGGGGAGGTCAAGATCGGTGATCTCGGCCTCGCCGCCATCCTCCGCAAATCCCACGCCGCTCGCTGTGTTGGTAAGTTGACTGTTTAACCCATTTATGAAATACTGTCAATAACCCAAAAAAAAAAAAAAGAGAAATCCCCATTTTATTTTAAGATCTTGTAAGCTGAAAGAGATCGGAACAAACACAATGAGCCATTTCTGATTTCCAGTGCCCCTAATGTTTTGTAACCCATTTATGGAGTTTAATTGATTGAGAGAGTCAGAGAGAAGTAGAGAACAATTCAGTTTGAAGTTTTATATATAGTTTTCTGGGGTATCTTAACTCAGGCACACCAGAGTTCATGGCTCCAGAGGTGTATGAAGAGGAATACAACGAACTAGTTGATATTTATTCTTTTGGGATGTGCGTACTGGAGATGGTCACATTTGAATATCCATACAGTGAATGCACTCATCCTGCTCAGATCTACAAGAAAGTCATCTCTGTAAGAACCATTAATATTGCCTTCCCCTGCTTCTTGATCTCCAGTCTACCACCATTTACATTTTTTCCCGTTTTCTATAGGGGAAGAAACCAGATGTCCTGTACAAAGTGAAGGACCTTGAAGTGAGACAATTCGTAGAGAAATGCTTGGCCACAGTGTCTCGGAGGCTCCCGGCGAGGGAGCTTCTGAAGGACCCTTTTCTCCAAATTGACGATTGTGAGTCTGATTTGAGGCCATTAGAATGCTCAAGGGACGATGTGGGTCCTCTCCTTAGGCAGCCTCTTTTCGATCTCCATAACAGTAATAACTCCTGGATCAATGATTACTCCTATGATATCAGTTACGTTTCAGAGAATGAATGGAGTTACCACCTCGAGGAGATTGAACATGGTGGGATTGAACTGTTCACTTATCAAGAAGATGAGCAATCTGCCAACGTTGACATCACAATCAAGGGGAAGAAGAGAGAGGATGGTAGCATATTTTTGAGGCTCAGAATTGCAGATAAAGAAGGTCAGAAATCCAAGTACTTTGCTTGTTCTTTTCGTTTGTGTTCCTATAATTCCCAGAACCATCACATGGTTTGCAGTACAAAACAATTTTCAGTGTTGCAAATCTATCTGCAGGTCGCATCCGCAACATCTACTTTCCCTTCCACATAGAGACTGATACAGCACTCAGTGTTGCCACGGAAATGGTTGCTGAGTTAGATATTACTGACCAAGACGTGACCAAGATAGCAGATATGATCGATGGGGAGATTGCATCCTTGGTGCCAGAGTGGAAGCCAGGGCCAGGCATAGAAGAAGGCCCCTGTTTTCAAAGTGCAACCTTCTGTCAGCATTGTGCCTCTAATGTTTCCTCCACTGGTTCTCTCCTGGAATATCTCTCCTTGAATAATCCAGGTGCCAACTTGCAAGTACTTCAGTGTTCTCAACATGGGTGTGCTGCTATGCATGGTCGGTTCGAAGAGATCACATACCAGATGGAGGAGTCAGAGCACTGTGTTACAGAAGGTGCACCAGTGGTATCAAGCCCATCAGATGGCCTGCAGAATGCAGATATTTGGGCTCAGCATGAAATCCCTCAGTTAAGTTCACATGGATCTGGAGGCATGCACTTTCATGAGTACGAAAATTTGGATCAGTCGATCTCTGCCAACAGTGAGAGAATAATAGATTTGGAGAATCAAATTGTGTCTGATGCAAGAAACTCAAGGCAACAATCTCCTTCATCTGTTCCTTCTTCTCCTTGTGCCTTATCGGAAAGCCATGACAATGATGTTAGGCAGGAATTGAGATGGATCAAAGCAAAGTATCAGATGGAGCTGAGGGAGCTTAGAGATCATCAATTGGGTCTTAATTCTAAATCTTCAACTTTAGCCCCAGATCTTGAGAGCAAGCAACAAAGAAATGACAATGGAATTACATGTCATTCAGTTTCAACCACGATAGATGGAGACACTAATGAATTTACCTCGAAATCTTTTGCCTCCAGTAAGGATTTTACTTCATATTTCCCCATTCATGTTCAGAAGAGCTGCCCACAGTCGGAAACCCAAAGGGCCCGACATAATGAGGCGACGAACAACAACTCCAGTCCTGATCGAATGGCCGCAACAAAGAGTTTCTACACTGGATCACTGCTTCCATACTCTGTTCACAGGACAAAATCCCTTCCAGTTGATGCCGTTGACGTTTAATTCTGTAAGGCCCTCTTTGATAATTTGGTTGTTTCACCAAGGTCACTCTCCCACACAAGCTGTATATTTTGCTTAATAATTTGTTACTAGGCTTTAACTTACACATCTTCTCTCCATTGTTGGGGAAAGGCCAAATGGAGGCTATGAGTCCCTGTAATTATGAGAAAATATGTAAATTTTTACAGCTTGTAGAATCCCCAATTGTGAATTTGTGATCACTTGGATGAAACGAGTCCTTGTACATTACCCATTTACCTTGAAGGGCAATAAAAAGGTTTTTTTTTTCTTTTTTACTTCACAAACGCAGACAGACAAATAGAGAATTAGAGATAGAGAGATCATAGATGAGGGGAATAAATGTATAAAGAATTACAACTTGAGGTACTCTGAGGAATTGAATTATTTTAACTAGTCAGCCAGTCCTGGACTCGCCAAGGTCAAGAGGTACTATGCCATGAGCCAGTCACCATACTCTGAATTCTGACCTCAGACCAACAGTATGGTGCACCATAACGTCGTACCCTGCTGCCCTAACCCTTAACATAATCTGGATGCTCTAGTTTGATGGATGGACAATGGACCAAACACCACACCCCATAAGAAATTTTCATTACTGGATCAGTTAATAAATGAAGTGAATGTACCACAGGAAGTCTACTGAACCGATCTTTATGCCATAAGTCATCCAAGTATCCATCAGATGGCCTTTCAAAGTCCAGTTGCAGGATCCAGATTGTTCAATGTCTGTTGTTTACGGATGAAGTCTTAAACTAATTAGGCAGAAAAAAAAAAAGGTCATTAGAAGTTTCCACGCACTATAGTATTGAGAGTGACGGATGTGATTGAAGGTGACTGTGAAGGCAAATTTTTAATTGACTAGTCCATGTTTAATGGTAGTCATCAGTTAATTAATAAATCAATGTTGGAGGAAGACGGGGATTGAATATTTGAATAGTGAGTTAGCTGGGTTTGTTAGAATGGAGGACGGAAAGATGATGCTCTCTTTGAATGTTTGTGATTTGTAAACTGAGAAGCTTTTTGTGCTTTATGAAACTTCTCACATCAATAATGTGATCTTGATGATGATTACAATGTGAACCTGCTTTGTCATGCCTGCACGAAACATCTTTAAATAGATGTATCAGAACCTTTATGAAACAATACGATATGCCCACCAATACTCTGGACTAGGGGTGAGGGTGAGCATTTGGTTTTTTTAGTTAGAAACCGAATTAAATAAATCGAAATTTTGAAAATTAAATTAAAAAAATAAAACCAAAACCGAAATAACTGAACCCAAAATTTTTTGTTTGATTTTCGGTTAAAATCGAATTTGAATAATATATACTATATTATATATATTATATATATTATAATATAGAATACATATTATGTATTATGAAATTAAATTCCATTATATTAATATATTAATATATAATATGTTTTATATTATATGTTGCATATTATATATTACAGATTATATACCAAAGTTTGATTTATTTGGTTTATTCGGTTAATCGAATTTTTAATTCTAAAAACCAAAATATTCAAAAACTGAATTAACCGAACCAAACAAACCGAAACCAAAATTTTCGGTTCAATTTTTTGGTTTTAACCAAATAATGCTCACCCCTATGTGCCTATGACAAATGTGATCAACCGTTGGGTCCTGGAGATAAAAAACAAAAAATAAATGAACAAGTAAAAAGTGACCTTTATTCAATATTCATACACGTAAAGCATAGATTCCCACTTTTACTTTTAAAACTAGTATGTCTATGTGCTTTGCACATGACAAATTTTGTGATGATGAAGATAGTATATAATATGTTTCAAAAATCTCTTACAATTTTTTTTTATATTTCTCTGTCTATAAAAAATATTCTTATTTGTCACACTTATTGTGGTACTTTCATATAAAGATATACTTAAATGTTTTCTATGTAATTTATATTTTTGTGTTTTTATTTATTTTATTTTATTATTTAGTTATAATTTCATGAATTGACACTATAGAGTTTTTATCTTGTTTATATTTTTTGTATCTTTTTTATTTTTATTATTTAATTATGAAATCAATGGTTGACAAATATGACCCAAAAGATTGAACTGTTATCTGACACCAAGAAAAAAAATTCAATTTTGGGTTGGTTTTAAATTTCAAATTTTAAACTTTATTTTCAGCATCAATAAAGCATTTATTATTTATCATACTTATTTTTCATTAATATGATTAATATAAAATATTAAATAGTGCCAAAATTTTATTTACAAAATTTTGTATTATTAGATAATGTTTTTGTATTTTTATATTTTCTCATTTTTTATTTATTTATGATATCAAGGGTTGACACATTTGAATTGCTTACTCACCACCATGATAGAAAAACAGTACAATTTTGGGTAAATTTTAAAAATATGCATTTTATATCATTAAAAATATTGGATGTATATCTAATTGATAGAATTTATTTGTTTTTATTGTGAAAATATTATCTTAAATATAGGATTCAATAAAAGAATAGGAGTTAATACCCTAAGATAAGATTTAATGAGAGGGAATTAAATGAAGAGTAATGTAGTACTTCAAATTACATTTTGTGCTCTCACATGGACCAAATTCAAAAATAGAGGTATTTTAGTCAAGAAAAAGATTCAATGAATGTTAATGGGAGTTAATAGTTTAAATATAAGACTCAAAGAAAGGGATTTAAATGAGAAGAAAAGTGGTTTTTCAAATTACATTTCCATGCTTAAAATTAGATAAAGACCAAAGTAAAAAATTCGGGTAATTTAGCCAAAAAAAATTCCACACCATTATTCACACTTTTAATAATACTAGTAAGTGCGTGCATGCTTTGCACATAATAATTCTAGATGATGATAATGATAGTAATAATGTATCCAAAATTTTCTATAAATTTTATGTATTTTTTATTTTTTTATTTTTTGTTTTTATTATTAATCGGATAATCCGCATTGGATTACATAAATACTTTATCAAAAAATGTGATAATTGAATCAAGTTGTGAAGTTTCTTCTTTTTGCAGTATTTTTTTTTTGTGTATCTTTTTTATTCATTTATCAAAAAAAATGTAAGATTTAAATAGAGGGAATTGAATTGGGTGAAAAGTAGTAGTTTAATTTACAATTTAAACCTCATAATGAAATAGGAACTAAATTCAAAATTGAGTATTTTAGTCAAAAGAAAGTTCCACAATATTATTCATATTTTTAATAGTAGTATAAATATAGATTTGTAGATGTGTTTTATTTTTTCTATAACTTTTTTTGTACTTTTGTGTGTAAAAATAATTCTAATATGTCACACTTACTTTTTGTTTAATATAATAAATATATGATAGTATACATGTGCCTAAATGTTTCTTTTGCAAAACTTATGTATTTATTTTATTTGTGTATTTTTATATTTTATTAACTTTTATTATTTATTTTTAATATTAAAGGTTAACATGTTTGACCCAAAACTTGAACTATTGATGTTTGCCAAATAGTAAAATAGTTTCATTTTTTGTCAATTCTAAATTATGTATTTTATTTTAAAAAATAATTCTTGTTTATTACACTTACTTTTTTAATTTGATTAATAAAAATATCATAAGTGTGTCTAATTTTTTCTACATTTTTGTAATTTTTTATATTTATTTCTATTTTAAAATTTTTATTACCTAACTATGACTTCGCGGTTTGATCAATTTGATTTAGATGGTTAAATTGCTTAGCCACCACTTGGATTGAAAATGGTTTTATTTTTTAATCAATTTTAAAATATATGGGTTTATATTGTTAAAAATATTGACACATATCTAATTTAATAAGAGAAAATGGGATTAATAATTTAAATATAAGACTTAATGAAAGGGGTTTAAATGAGGTGGAAAGTAATAATTGAAATTACATTTTCAACACTTACCATTAGAGATGGACTAAGTACACAATTATGGGCATTTTGGTAGTGATGAAGGAGGATTTGGCCCGACCTCCTAGTAGGGGAACACGTGGACGTGATTCCACGTAAGCAACAACTCAACGTAACCAGATCGGCACGTGGAAGTGACTCGACACAAGTGACAACTTAGCATAAGTCAGCTCGCTACAAAGTGAGCTCGGGTATGCCAGTACCCCGAACTGAAGTCACTTCGGGATGAACGCACCTCAGTACAAGATTACACTGGGATCACCTCGGCCCGGGGGCACTTCGGCATTTATGACAAGGGCAGACCTAAGCGTGAGCTCGAGAAGCTCGCTACCAATTAGCTCGCTACCGAGCAGCCCGGTATCCTACAGGTAGCTCACCTACCGTACAGATCTCTGCATGGAAACCTCGAGGAATACACCCCCATCTCTGAACCCCACAGGATCGTACTTATAACGGTAACATTAGTTCACCAACTCCCCGTTCTGACAGGAAGTGACAGTGTTACCGTTTGGCGGTGTTTCAACCACCTAACACGTAACAGGTCCCATCGTAACAGGGATTCAGTGACCGTTCCACCTACCCACCTAAGCCAGTGTATAAAGACCCCACTCTTACCAGGGGCGAAGGTACGTTCTATTATCATTGTTGTGTGTGTAATCTTCACTCTCTAAGCTCTCTCACTGTTATCATCTTCAAGCTCTCTACTATCACTGTGTTCTAACTTAGCCATTGAAGTATCCACACTGGGTGAGCCACCCTGGGATCTCTGGCTCATCTCTTTCAGGAACCCGTTTCCATCGTCGCTGGAAGCCAATTCATATCCAATAGGGAGTAACCAGATTACGCCACATCAATTGGCGCCGTCTGTGGGATTTCTTACAAAAAGCATTTCTATCCTCTTTCAAAGAACCAAAAGAACTCAAAAAACTAGACCAGTTCACCATACCGCTTCCCACGGGTGGGATCCCAACACCAGTTGTGCCTCAACCATTTGAGCCTAAGAACGCCCCACTTCCCCCTGTAGTGGGTGCAACCTTTGTTGAACCGTCCGTAGTTCCCCCTAGAGTAGGACAATACCAACTAAGCGACCTGGTATACTGCATACGGGCTATTCAAGCCCAAATGCAGCAGGTCCAGCAGTTCCAGCAGTACTAACAACAAGTTCTACATCACATGTACCAGTAGCAGTTCCCACTGCTGCAGCAGAACCAACAACCTACCCCACCTCAGTGTCCAATCACCCCAAGCAAGCCTCGCTGCCAAAGCAGCCGTCCTGACCGAGAGGAGACCACCCAGGCTTCGTCTCGCGGTAGAAGAGGAAGACAAGTCCCTCCCACCTCTCATCAAGTAAGC